GCAAGCTTCACTGCCAGCTGGCGTTCACGGTTGCATTTCGAGCATAATACATTTTTAAAATTATTTCAGGTGGAAACCAAAACATATACGTATATTTCTTCTTATTCTGACTTTCTTTAACATACGCTTCAATTTCATTGTGGAAGTCACTGTCGTGTTTCCTATATCGACAGTGGTGTCGAGTGCGTTCCGATTACGAATACAGCTTTTTCAGCCGAGTACCTTTCAAATGTTTGGAATTAATTAAATTAATNTTCATTAGTAAATCGCAACAAGATTGTTCATATTTAAATTTAACGCACTTGTTGATTCAAATTAATGTTGACAAAAATGCAACCGTGTGCCACAATCCTGCTAGCAAATTCTTACTGACAAAAATTTTCCCAGCACGAATTTGCAACTTTCCCTCCAAATGAAATGTCAAAACTGTGCAAGTTTTACTGGGTTTTTGGCTAAACGAACACGATTTGGTAACAATTNAGCAAATTCTTACTGACAAAAATTTTCCCAGCACGAATTTGCAACTTTCCCTCCAAATGAAATGTCAAAACTGTGCAAGTTTTACTGGGTTTTTGGCTAAACGAACACGATTTGGTAACAATTGGTACCAACTTGTACAAATTTTTTGCATAGCGAACACTCCTAGTGTTCACTTGCAAGTTTTTGCTAGTTTCGTGTTCACTAACTTTCTGTGCTAGTTTTCTCTTCTTCTCAATTTTACGCTCTATTTTGCTTTTACGCTCTCTCTGCAATGTCTTACTGGAGAAGTTACTATACATACCTATTTAATGTTAAATATTTAATTTTTTTTATAAAATTCTAGCACATTATATAACAAACACCAAATAAATCCACATTTTAAACTTTGTACAAAACTTATGAAAATTCAAAAACTTTTATAGCCCCTTAAATTCTATGTAGTTTAAAGACGTTAGAAAATCACGCTGAAAAAACTTTTCAAGAACGCCCTACTTCAGAATTTGATTGAAAAACGCCTTATTTCAGAACTTTATTGAAAAACACCCTCTCTCAGAATTCGGTTCAAAAACGCCCTATATCAAACGAAAATACATTGAAAATAAGCTGAGATAGGGCGTTTTCGAACTGGCTGCCGAGATACTAGGTCGATCTTCCACTCAGCCATCGATATAGTGTGATCGAAAATTTTTTTATTGGAACAAAATGCCTAGTACCATCGCAAAATAAAAATTTAAAAACAACGCGGTTTTCGAGCGTCTTTAAATTGGCATTTTAACCAAATTCTTAACGGGCTATAGAACCGAATAAAGTTTGTAATGAAAATTGGTCAAGTTGGTTGAATTTTTGTACCAAGTTAGAAATGTGGATTTATGTACATATATGGCTCTTAGCTATAATTGATGGAAATGTTCAATATACGTAAGCGCGGTTAAGAGCCGAATTAGAACTTATTGGCGTAAATAAGACATTTCCCTCAATTATAGGAGGTTAGAAGTAAAAGATACTGATGCTTTGCCTTGATGCAGTGCACGGTGTCCAAAACAAGCGCAGTTTACGTAATCTAAATTTTAACTTTCTCTGCAAAACTGATAATGTGCTATACTTTTATAAAAAAAAGGCCATTAGAAAAAAGCCTTTTATGAATGTTGCTCGGACAAGCATTCGCTCCTTATTTTTTTTCAACAATTACGTTTCTCAATGCTCAATACTGAACCATCACCGTTTTTAATATCTTTTATTATATATTTTGCATGCTATTTTATTTAAACAAGCTTGGTTTTTCCAATCAATTTATTTAACAACTAATAAATGCACATGTTTCAAAATTCAGACCATCTACAATATAAAAAAAAAATATGTACATATGTATATATATAAATGCAATATCCTCTGGTACAATCGTCACTGGTTTGTTTGAAATATATTTACTTAGCTGCCTCATCTTCAAATACGATAACCGCTGCGCCTTTGGCAATATTTTCTCCTTCCTTACCGCCAATCGATTTGATAGTGGCATCCTGTGGTGCTTTCAGAATATGCTCCATTTTCATTGCTGTGAAAAGTTTATACAAGAAAACATTTACATACATATGTATATTTAAGTATAACTATTTTGTTTATATATGGAGCATAAATACCTATCAGCAAAGCTAAGCTATCGCCTTTTTGCACCTTATCGCCAGGCTTTACCAACACTTTCTCTAAGACACCTGGCATTGGGGCTACAATTTTATTGCCACCAACACCGCCATGTTCATCGGAGAGTGCATTCAAGAATTTCGGCTGTACCAATTCGAAACTTACTTTGCCATTCTAAAGTAAATAAAAATGCTGCACAATTATCCTATTCACATTTCAATAATGTTTACTTACATCCAAAAAAATTGCAACTTCTGTGCCATCGATGTTAGCGTTGAATGTTGAAATGCTATTGTCAATATTTGCCCTGATTTTTAACCGATCGCCATCCCATACCCGCTCTGATTTCACACTTTTCCATGGTCCATCATCGATTTGTATTTGTAAGGCGGATTCGTCAAAACGAACTTTTGTGTTATAAACTGGTTTTTTTTTAAATAAAAATAATTACAATGAGTTACATACATATGTCATATAGATTGTCCTCTGGATAGCGACACAACCCTAAAATAAAACCCCCCTTACTATCGGACTGTGGCATCCCTGAAGATAATTTAGGTAGGCCTTCTTAAGTGAAGCCATTCTAAAAGGAAGGGCTAAAAAACTGCTTCTCTGCATGCCTCTTAGGAGGGATTTTCTTATTTACAATTTTAGCGAATGCAAAAGTTCATATTATTTAGCAATGCAATGGAATTTTAATACGTATTTTAATATTCAATAAACCAAATTTGGTATTAACATTAAGTAAATATATTAAAGAAGTATAATTTTTATGAAATAGAAAGCAGCTTTAGGAAAACTCCTCCAAAAGGCCTTCTGAATTTCGTCCTACCATAGCCCTTCTGCAAGCACTACTAAGGTAGCGAAGGCAGAATCCCTTCAGTTTAAGCCACGCCATACAAAAGGGAAAGGAACGCAAACTGGAAGGCCTCTTGTCTCTCAGAAAGACCTTTTGGAAGAGCTTTTAACTCCTGAAATTATCTACTGGGATATGTCTCTAATCCTTGTCTAATTCAGTCATAAAGATTTACTAGGGTTAAAACAACGCTTAGAAACATGTGCCACTGTTCAGTAGTAGTAGAGTTGTCTCGTTACTGCAGAGGACCATCGATATGTACACAGAAACATATGTGCACATTTACACCACAAATTCGAATGACAACATTCTTCTCATACCTTTATCGTTTGCTTTCAAATTGTAACTCCTTATCAGCGAAAAATTCAAACGCGTATTTTTTGACGCCTTAAAGGGATCATTTTTGTCCGCATTACTGTCAAAAACTTGCATTTCATTTAGAACTAGAGCCACAACTGCTTTACATAGTTGTCATCTTTGATTTCGGTGGGAGGAAAGAGTGTATCGAAGTGTTGGTCAATGAAACCCGTATGTACGTTGCCTTTCTGAAATTCTGTATGTGCAGCCAAATCGATAAGAAAATTGATATTGGTTTCCAGACCGGTGATCTGTAAGCAATTAGTAAAATTAACAAATGGCCAATTATTTTTATAAGGATCCACGTACATGATATTCGCGCAGTCGTGCAATTAAGCTATTCAATGCTTGCGTGCGATTCTCGCCCCAAACAACTAATTTCGCGATCATTGGATCGTAATGTACGGACACTTCGTCCCCCTCGCGTACTCCTGTTTCGACGCGCACAAACTCGTTCGGTTGGGTGTCGCTAGGTAACGCAGTGGGCCAGCACCAGGCAGAAATCCACCGCTGCATTGAGATTTATGGATAAAAGAAAGCATTTTCAAAAAATGTAATCCTAAGCTTTTACTAAACTTACCGTGGGTTTTCTGCGTAAATACGGGCCTCAAATGCATGCCCTTTGCGACCGATTTCCTCTTGCGTCAGCGGTAAACGCTCACCCGCTGCAATGCGAATTTGCCATTCGACCAAATCAGTGCCAGTGATCATTTCCGATATTGGATGCTCCACCTGTAAACGCGTATTCATTTCCATAAAGTGGAATGAGAGATCTTCCTTGTCCATGATGAACTCTACAGTACCAGCACCAACGTAACCCACTGCCTTGGCTGCGCGTACTGCAGCTTCGCCCAATTCGCGACGCAGTTGCTCCGACAGACCAGGCTGTGAGGGAAACATAATGTATGTTAGAGATCATAGTGTATATACAGTATCGCAAAATACTTACCGCCGGCGCTTCTTCAATGATCTTTTGGTGACGCCGCTGCACAGAGCAATCTCGCTCCCACAAGTACACCGCGTCGCCATATTGATCGGCAAACACTTGAACCTCTACGTGTCGTGGCGAGCGCACATAACGCTCCAATAGCACTGAACTGTCGCCAAATGACTTCTGCGATTCATTTCGCGCCGAATTAAGCGCTGTTAAAAAGTCTTCCCTTTTGTCTGCGACACGCATACCCTTTCCACCGCCACCGCGTACTGCCTTGATCATTAATGGAAACCCAATTTCTTCTGCTTCGGTCTGCAACCGCTCATCAGACTGATCATCGCCATGATAACCATTTATGATTGGTACGCCTGCGGCGGCCATAATCGCTTTGCTTGTACTTTTAATGCCCATATCCCGTATTGCCGTGCTGGGTGGTCCCATGAAAATAATATTCTCATGTTGACACAGCTCAGCGAATTCTACAGATTCGGAGAGAAACCCATAACCGGGGTGTATCGCTTGGCAGGCAGCTTTCTTAGCGATTTCAATAATGTGTTGGCCGCGCAAATAGGAAGCCGCCGACGCTGCCTCGCCGACTCGATATGCCTCATCGGCGAAAGACGCGTGTAGTGAGTGCTCATCTGGATCAGAGTATACAGCAACCGTACGCACACCCAACCGGCGCGCAGTGCGTATTACACGGCATGCGATCTCACCACGATTGGCGATCAGAATTTTGTTAATCGGCCGTACTTGTACATTGTGTGACGCCTTTGTACTGTAACCTCTGGAAGAGAGGATATGAAAATTGTTTACTCCCAAAAAGCACATGTTTATATACATAATCGGCGTGTAGGATACGAAGGTGTTTACTTAATTTATGGTAGCTGTATACTTCATTACCTGAACGAATAAACAATCCGCAGCAAATGAGTATACATTTTCCCACTTAAATACAGTAATCTTAAGAATAAAGGCTATGAAGCGATGAATAAACTAAAATAAACCAAAAACAATTGCACTTTGTATTCTGTAAACACGCGATAACTATGGAAATGTTCTTATCAGTATTTGACAGATGCATCAGCTGTTTGATTGGAGCGTTTGTCCGTTGATCGTGTTGCGTCGCTAAAGGTGCGAACACAAACACGTCGAACATAGTTACGTTTTCGTAGGCACTAGTCAGTAAAGAGAATAATTTTACTGGATTTTTAGAGGCTGGCGTTTTCGTACGCCAAAACTTGCAAGAAACCATAATACAAACATTAAATGTCGATATCTCAGATACTGAGGTCAATGTAGTAAATCCGACAGTGAATTCCACAAAGAAATTGAAGGATATGTTGTCCTGTTTTGTTTTCCATCTGAAATAATTATAAAAAAATTATTATGTTATACCTGGACAATATTGCTGAACCAAGTTGCTACCTGTCGCCCAACTTCCTTTGGAGGTAAACCTATTTCGATATTTGGCTGCGGTCAATAGAACTCCGTGTGGCTTTTTAGACGCCGTAAATATGTCTATCAACGCTGCAACTTTGGCACTGTAAATTGCAGAAAAAATTTCATCAATTCATAAACTGAATTTTACCTCATGAATATTCCATTTTTTTTGCACGGTGAAGCGCAAGTAGAGATGCCTTGGCTTAGTTGGGCGTTGCTGATGGACTGCATATTGTATCTAGTACTTAATACCAACCCGCACGAAGTCATTGAGGCAAGGCTCTGTTATGCATACTTGGCATTGCTTGACAGTTGTCACATAAGGAATCTGTTAAATTCAACATTGCTCCAGCAAAATCGCTGGTGTAAATGGTGATTTAAAAAACGCTTGCCTCAAAGTAGAAAGCAAGTCAACTTTTGCATGCGATTATCGCCTGTCAAAAATCGCCTCATGTAAAGGCAGCATAAGCGGCTACCGAACGCACAGCATACATACGTAGAAGTCTGTTGGTTTTTGATTTCTACGTAAAAATGTATAGCAGTGTATGCACTGTCCAGTATGCATAACAGAGCTTTATTTCTTACTGGCTTTTGCATAGCGAACATAACTATTTTTACCTGTAACTATTTGCCAAAAAAAAAAAAAAACAGCGGATAACATGATGCTGGGTGCGATTCGCACTAATAAAAAAAGTGTTTATGAGGCTCTTATTGTTGAAATTGACAAAATAAACCAATTTAAATATACATATACTTAGATATTCTTTTAAAAAATGTTTTTTTTTTGGAAATTGCTGTTGGTGCTCAACTGCGCGGTCGGCGTTTGCCCGCCCCCACTGAAAAACCTAAGACGCTGAGCCCAAATTTGCGCATCGCATTAAAGGCTAAAAAAGCAATACCAATTTACCTTTAATTTACAATAATTCGCTTATAAGTTATTGGCAAATATACCATTGCGATTTTATGCGTATACTGCAGAAGGGTCATTTAACGCAGAACTACACTGTTGGGTGGTTCACAAGTTGTCGTACGTGTCGTATTGTCGTATGTTGTAAAGTTTTTAACGGCTAAATAAATGTTTAGAGGACTTGACATCACCACCAACTATTTTTTAACGGTGTGAAATTTCATAATAAAACTTTTATGTTAGCTTGCGAATTTTTTTAAATATAGTTAGGGTTCAATCGATACAAGTAAATACTCGATATTTTTCATTTGATACCAAGTATTTTTTTACTCGATACCTTTTTGTTCGGTATCGAGTAAGTATCGAAAAAAAGTACTTGGTATCGAAAGAGGAGTTTCTACTACTTTTATCATTGCAACGGCAACTCAACAAGTGACGTCCGTTATTGGAGTTTTCGCGAAAAGTGCGGTCATGTAGTAGAGAGAGTAGAAATCGCTTGTCTGGAAAGCAATTTAGAAAAGTGGTTGTTTCTTGGCAGTGTGCCCCAAAAGCTATTTTTTTATATTTTGTGAATAATATACTTATATGAAGTCATATATGTAATTATAACTAATATTGTTCCTCAGCAATGTACCAAAAGAAACAATAAATTTTTTTTTTCATAAATAGTTTGTAAATGATGCAGTGTGATGTATACTTATGGAGGTGACCTTATGGATAAGTGTCGGATTTTTATTTTTATTTTCAAATTAATTTTAGCTACTTTTTTATAAAAAATATAGTTCATTCTATGACAAAAACCATGTAAATCCAAGTTTAAAATTTTGTACAAAAATGAAAAGAAAATCAAAGTTTCACCAAAATTAAACACTTTTTATTCAGAATAAAAAGTGTGGAATTTTGATGAAAACGTACTAGCGCAAAAGAGAAGGCACAAGTTGTCCCTTCTTATTATTTACGTTCTTTGATGAAACTTTGTTGATTTGCTTTTAGATTTTGTACAAAGTTTTAAACTTGGATGAACAAGGTTTTTGTTATGGAATGAACTATATTATTTATAAGAAAAAGTGAATAAAACTAATTTGAAAATAATAACCAAATAAAAATCTGAAACTTATCCATATTGGGTGTATGGGTCTCATAGGACTGAAAAAATTATAACCAATACTGTTCCTTGGTAATGTGCCACAAATATTAATTAATAATTATTTAGTATTCTTACTAAATAACTTAAATATATACGTTTTCTATACCTGCAACTTTATTGGATTTTTATTTAATTTTGACATACAGTGTTTTAAACCATGATAAGGCGTAATCATACGACCTTTTACAACAAAAAAGGGAAGTATCGCTCGAAAGAGAAGATGAAAACAATTCAAGTAAGTACTCGCTACTTTGCCGATACTGAGTAGGTATCGATACTTTTAGTCTTTTGAGTAAAAGTACTCATTAGAGTGATACCCTAGTGGTATCGATTGAACCCTAAATATAGTTTTAGCCGTTTAAAGTTTATGACATACAATGGTACGACAGTATATACCGTGATCCTATGTATGCAAATAAGCAATTCTTAATACGTGATTAGCTGTATGCCTATATATATAATTGGAATGATTCAGTAAAATAAAGCCAAAGAAAATACTACTCACGGGCTTTATTTCCTTTTATAAATCAAGCGGGCGTTATTCCTTTCCTTTGGGAAATAAAGCCCGTCGCTATTATTGCTCTTTCGCAAAGGAAATAAAGTCCGTGGGTTTTATTGCCTTTTATTGGTAAGCGCTATTTCCCCTTCGAAATGGAAATAACGGCCATGAGCTTTATTTCTCTTTTTTTTTTATTTCCGCGGGCTTTTATGCACTACACCGTTTGTTACTATAAAGCTTAGTATCCAGCTCTTAAGGAAATGGCCAAGAAAAAAATTGCATTCCGAAAACAAAGCGCGACAGTCTACTACCGTTTTAGTGAATGTATTGTGTACGTGAGTGCCGTTTTTTGTGTAAATATCAGTGTTGCCAACTTCTGGGTTTCAAAAAGCACCAAAACTTGGGGAAAAAAGCGTTTTACCGTACTAAAAGCACTAATTTTTTTATATCAAAGGATATTTTTTTCATAACAGTTTGTATTTAACAAAAATGAAAAAAATAATTAATATTTATAAGTACATATAATTCAATACACAAAACTTTTTCTCATGCTGACGAAGTAATACCGAAGTAAGTACTGCAGATTAAAACTGGTATATTTATGTATAATAATAATAGATTGGCGCTTACACATATGTTAGTGTTTGGCCGAGCTTCTCCTCCGATTTGTGGCGTGCGCATTGATATTGTCACACAAAGGGGGTATACTGGTATATTTAGAGGAAGAAAAATCGAATCGCAACAAACGAAAAAATTAATGTAGATTCTTTTAAATTCAGTGCTGCTACAGCTTTAAATATTTCAAATTATTTCATGTTCTAACTATCTATGAGAAATTTGAGTTCAGAAGAAGAGCACTAAAAAAGGCACTAGGCACTAAAATATTTTTTTTGGCGTTTTAATTTTCAAAAAGCACTAAATCTAGTGCTTAAAGCACCAAGTTGCAACTATGGTAAATATGTGTTGTGTACATGTTTATTTATAAACGAATGTGTTTCTTTTCTTTCGTACGTGTTTATTGATATATCTGTACGGTAATGTTTTCGGACGGGACTAGCTCTTACTGCCAATATAGGAGTATTACATATCGCACACCGTCTTTCAAAGAGTCACAACTCAAAATAATACGTGTGTTAGAAAATGCGAAAAACTATTTATTAGCACATGATAATCATATGGGCAAGGGCGACTTTACCTTAGTTTTTTTTTAACAAATTATGACCAAAATTTGTCCCGGGTTTTGCTGAAAGGTAAATAAGAGCTCTGTGTACACTTCAAGTGCATAATCTCAAAAATGCCAAAATTTGAGTTGTGACCCTTTTGAAGACGGTGTGCGATATATAGTTTGTCCAAGGAATTTTGTAATCTAATATTTTACAGCCTGTTGCCTCTTTTCTCAAGAAATAATGGAACGGGCATATATTTCTGTTGCAAAAGTGGGCTGCCTGGTGCTCTTTTTCCCCAAAAAAAAAAAACNTTTGTCCAAGGAATTTTGTAATCTAATATTTTACAGCCTGTTGCCTCTTTCCTCAAGAAATAATGGAACGGGCATATATTTCTATTGCAAAAGTGGGCTGCCTTGTGCTCTTTTTCCCCAAAAAAAAAACTTTAGAAAACCGTAGTAGAAAGTGTAGCAAATTTCTTACGAACTGAAACTGAAAAGTCTATCGAAGGAAGATATGATCCAGGTGACATATGAGGCGGTGGCTCGGGTCTCGAGAGCCCCCGTATCCACGGCAAGGCAATCCCTTACTAAGCTTCATGTCCGACGGCAGCACTAGAGATGATTCACGAACATGAGCCACTTCATCTTAGCATAGAGCAGGCAGCAAAGTGAACTCTACTAAATTTCACAAGAGAAGGCTTTAACAAAGATGAAACCTTATCATCGAGGAGCTCGGCTGCCAGATTCCACTGGCTTTGATACCTAGAGATGATAAGCCCAAATGGGTAGCATTTGAGAGAAAATCAGGTAGAGCTTTGCTGCAAGGCAATTTGGAGTACCTCCTTTATGGAGAAACATATACAGGCTAGCTTGCAGCAATGGTATA